TCAGTTGGACACTTCTGCATTCGCAAACGGCTCACCATCTTGCTATCTTAACTTCTTACCAATGAGTGAGAAAATGTCCATCTCCATGACATGTATGCTCTTAAAGCGTGATAAAGTACAACCTATAAGCACAATAAAAAAAATAGAGGTCGAACAATTTGATACAGAAGAGTAACATGAAATTACAAGTATGAAAACAATAATTAATATCCATTGCATATGAGATGGCTCCCGTACTTCAATGGACAACGCTTTAGCATTTAATGCGACGCGTACAGCAATCTAGTTTCAGTGGGTAGAAAGTTACACTGATGCGAAGGTACACTCAACTGATGAGTCCCAAACAGGCTGAAACGTGCATCCTGGATTCCGATACTAGTCACCAAGAAGAAAAGTCTTTTTGCATTCATTTTCGCTTGGACTCATCCTCTTATCACCACCACCTTGTTTTTCTTTTACGTATGTGGTAAAGACTGAAGGTTTGCCACCTGTTTATATTCGACTGATAAAACTTACATTAGCTCGTTAGCGTTACATGTACGCTATAAATATATGCTGCTACGCTCAATACTGAAGATCAGATGGTCAGAAAGAATGAGCAACAAGGAATTCTGGCCTACCCTGGCAACGAACCAACCAAAAACCTATCGCTCAACAAATATGCAGAAGGAAGTGGAGATGGATTGGGCATACACTGAGAAGATCATTCGGGGATATCACGCACCAGACCCTCGAGTGGAACCCAGATGGGAAACGGTGAGTTGGGCGTCCGAGATGAGGGTGACATGGAGGAGATTGTGTGAGGAAGAAATGAGAACTTCTGGGCTGTCGTGTAGCCATGTTCAAAAGGTTACAGAGAAGAGAGTGGAAAGGAGACGTGCTACTGAAGCGGTATGTTCCACTAGGAACCCAAGGAGCAAATAATAATATTATAATAAATTTTCATTCGTTTTCAGTTATTTGTTCTTTTACCATATATGGACGAATGTGAAATAAGGTTGAAGTAGCGGTAAACTCATCAAGCACGGACGCAGAGGAGAATCTAACACTGGGTCAACTGAGTGAGGAAAGTATACAATGTAATACTTCCATGAATCCATTAAGTAACTACTTATAAGGTATAGAAAAGCACTGGTGCGTAAAGTGGGGTAAGTTCCCAACTTTCTAATGACTGTACCTTTAGCAACACTTAATATTTACAACAAAGAACCTCTTTAATCTTCCTCAGAACTTACTGTCATATTTATATAAGATAGTTGTCTGATATACTTGCTATTTAAAACAAGTAAGTAACTTGCAATCCAAGAACCGATCACTACCATAGAATAAGCCGTGATTAAAATCCATCTACGCAACGGATAGAGAATGTTCTCAAGAAAAAAACAACCTGAAAGTAGATTGAGATCCAAATGAAACAAATTCTAACCGCAGCCAGTTAAAAATGAAATTAAGGATACCTCAAGAATCATATCTTGAAAATATTATCATAATTGCATAAACATGTAGGTTTCTCCAAAATACCGTGCGTAAATCATTCCAGTTTTTATCGAAATCTCCACTAATATTTAAATCAATTAGTATATACATCAGTCACATAAAAATATATTCTTACACTTACAGCCAAATGGCTGAACTTCATATGTGCACGAAGCAGCAATAGTGAGTTATTTACCAGTTGATTATGCACATAGAAAGTCTATTTGTTATTAGTTGTTCATTAGAGATCGATATATAATATACTAAAGACTAAGATGTTTAGTGAGACGTGGTATACTAACACAATTGAGTTCTTTTACTAAATCAAAGTAAACACAACCCACACAACTCAAAAGAAAACAACAGTAACAATGAAATGAAATATGGATAAACAGTATTTGATGCTTTATTCAATTGATTTTACTCATGGTCGCATATTCACTGTTGACTGTTGAACTGACTGTTAAAGATGGACCATTTTGCACTGGATGATTGATTTAAGTAATTCCTTTCTCAATCAACAGGTGGGTACTAACCAAAATATGCATAAATAAATTGAAGAGATATGATAATATAGAAAATTGGTGGATAGAGAAAAATAAATTCAAAAAAGATGAATTAATTTACGATATATTTTGTTTTAAATAGTCTCAGTCAGTTAATAATAACACATTACCTTGTATTATTGTGAAAGGTTCCCAGTTTCCACACTTATCGCCAGTACAGTGCATTAAGATGAAAGACAGAAAATGAAGAAATGACTATAAAATTCATGGAATATCTTATGGGGGTTTAGATAGAAACCGAAAGGTGGTAGGATTATGAAGATGAAGATGGGGCGTGAGTGACGTATCACCTATAGTCTTCACCTAATGATTTTAGTTATCATGCAGATCCAAAATGGAAGTGCGAGTATCCGCACACATCTCAGAAAAACAGTCAAAGTAGTCAAAAACTGATGCTGTGTTTATATTTCACACCTCCATTTTTTTTTCAGCCTTTACTTACTCCAGCTAATATTTTGCTACTGGGTAGACATCGACTAGTTAGACCTTACACTTGGCGTGGCCAACTAAGTCAATAATGGTCTCCAGACTCATCAACTGACTTATGATTTATACTTAAAACTCAACATCTGACCTTTATATTGCTAAATTAGTAGTTTTGTGAGACATGACCACTGCTGCAAAGATAACCACGGTTGACCCATGAACTCCAAAGTTATCTAACCTAATCAACTATATTTCACAGGATATAATTCAACAAAGCCATATGTTGTGCAGGACTTCAGTCCTTTGTAAGCAGTATGATTTCTCGGTGATACCGTAGATGGCAAAAGTTGACAAACGTCAAACGAACCACTTATATTTGTGCAAAGACTTCACTGGTCACTAGCACACTAGAACTTATGCCAGTTTCCAAGAAAGTGAAGTAGTCATCACGTTCAGTCACCTAACTTTCGATTATTGAACGAGGAGTCTAATAACAACGAGCCTTAAAGGAACAATTTGCACTTGGTGAGGGTGAGAAACGCCTATTGAAAATTCTCAAACTGTCACTCACCGTATCGAGAAGACTCTACATCTTGTCTCTTTCTTCATCTAACATCACTGTGTCATCTATGTTCTCTAGATCCACTAAGGAGTTTTCTTTGACAAAGTCAGTCGCTAAGATTTTTAAGAGGATGACGATCAAAAGCAATATTTTGATAAAGTTACATAAAGGTGAAAAAACCAGACAACCTTAATGCACAGCACTCGATCCACACAACTTACTTGATGGCTCACCAATAGCTCTATAACTATCACGTCTGTAAGAGCTTGCAGTCGTTACTCGTGTGACTCACTTACCGGGAATCGATTTCAGTAAAAGAGAATTCTTTAGGGCTCAACAACAGACATAATTAAACAGTGTCTATGAATAAAATCATACAACTCATATCAAGCACCGTTAGTTCATTCAGTATTTAAAGATCAGGTGGAGTGTTAAAATCTAGTCAAAAACTTTACGACTATGACTTAACCCTGCCTACTTTGCTATTTTAAATGTTAAGTAAAACATCTGATGATCATTTATTTTAGAATCTTAGAAGACGTGTTAGTGAAGCTCATTCCTTTGTAATTAACGGAAGAGTAATTTTATGCTTTGTTTAAGACTGAAACAACTAGCAAATGAAACAAGATAAACAGAAACATATCTAATTTCCATAAGCCAGCCACTTCATTTAATAAACCTAGGTCACCTTAATATAATATCTCTTGCAGCCTAGGTAAGGAACTCCTGAACCAAGTGGAAATCTTAAGTCAGTCACACACGATTTTCTAAGGAGTTTCCAATCGTGATCAACTTTAGCAAAGTCTTTAAGATAAGCCTACGTCGTTAGCACCGGTAGTTGGTGTAGTAGAAGCAAATGTCTTTTTAAACCCAAGCATCCATAACTCCTCTATTTGATAAAAGGTGGGAAATATCCTTATGAATACTGATCATGTGTGGGAAACGTTTAACTGCCATCACATTCCACATATGCACCAGTACGACTTCACCGTGAACCTCAAGCAAAGCGTAAGCTATTAGACTATGAAGGTAGTTGTTTCTTGTCTTTTGACTATTCAACAGACTTTTCCGGCATGATATGACCTCAAAGAAAGAATCGCTGTAGTCAACAAAGCTCTTCGGGTCATTAAAATGTGTACGCCTGAGCACTATGTCAATACAGTATCTAATTTTCAATATGCTGCTGAGCAGCTGCTTTGAAATGATGAACAAGTCTTACAAATAAAATTAATATATCAATATTGAGTCACAGACAGGAAGTTAGTAAAAAGGGAAATATTTCTTTAGTGAATTGAATTTTTTCTAATTTACAAATTTAAATTTTTAATGTATTAATAAAACAAAGAATTTATGTGAGTATCAATATGTCTGCTTGACTAGCAGCTTCTCATCAAACGTGTTGTTTGTTTTTTCAGAAAGTAAATTTAGATCAGTGTAATACGAACTAATACGTACGAATAATTTATCTACGATTAGCTAGCAACAACTAATGAACATCTGATGTTCAACAGAAGAAAACGTCTCAGAGGTTCAAAAACCAAAAGCAGACGAGATAGAACATCACAACAGAAATACTCAATGAAATGAAATTACATCGTAAATGATGGTTAGTATGTGCTCAGAGTGGCTATAGTGAGCATTCTCATCTTTCAGGCAACGAAAGACACTCAGCTACCCTTCGCACATCCGTGAAATAGGCAACGAGCCACGTACATTGTGTGGGCTAGTGACGCTACCCGGCTGCCCAAACCTCAGTAGGTGGAGCTCGGCTCAGACCCGTGAACCAATGGTTGATATCTATGTCCTTAAGCAACTGAGCCATAACTTCACTCTTTTAATTACATCTTCACAGCTTCCCCCATCATAGTCAACAAATGCTAACAACTGACTCAGTTTCCATCACTAGCATCACGATTATTCTCATTTGTTCACTGTATAAAGATACAAGAACAAATGAATCTATTCTTGTTAAAAATTATTATTATCACTCTGAAATAAACAATGATTATTTCACTGTAGTTGATCAACGTGATGTCAGGTTTAAACAGAGGTGTAAAGAAAACTAACTGACTGGGGTTAATAGGTCGATGTAGGCAGGTTAAGAGGTAAGTATTCGAATATTCCAAGAAGTACTAAGCTGTGACATGCATTTACCCTAAATAAATTATGGAAGACTTGAATCAATTCAATGGCAGTAGACGAAGAAGTACAATATATTCAGATCAAAAAAACCTGGAGGAATAGAAAATAACACAGTTGAAGAAGTAAGCATCAAAAGTCATTTAAACAAGTATATGAAAATATTGTTTTATTCAATGAAAGCAGTTGTAGTAGTAGTAGTAGTAGTAGTAGTTTTGACTTGATGTTTTGTACACATTCCTCAAATATGGTACTTTTCACACAGTATCGGGACAGAAAAGAAATGTATTGTAAAAAGCGATAAACTCATAGCGCAAAAACTCCACAAAATAGACATGAAACAGCTAAAAAGAAGAGTAAAACAAGCAGAATGACTAGTTTACTTTACATGCACAAGAAGTAATGAAATAAAAGGGAACTGGTATAAAAAAAACTAGTTACACGCAAAAACAGAAAAGAAGAAAAGCAAATATGCAGATTACAGTCAAAGAAGCTGAAAAGAAGTTTTGTTTACTTCATAGTTAACTGCTTTATTTGCAAAAATAATTACTTATATGTTTTAGTTGGCTGTAGAATGAAATTACAATGATTAAACTGTTTGACCACTTGTGTGCTGCACTCGTCTTCCACGGTAAAACCGATGACCACGACAAATGTAACGTAAACCGAAAAGTAGAATTATAGCTGCCAGTATTGTAAGCACAACAGATATGATGGATATAATCATCAGATCAGAGACCGGTTGTTCTGTCTTCAATTCCCTGTAATAAATTATCGAAGAAATAAATTGAAACTAACAAGATTTTTCGTTTTAGACGATAACTGACTACACAGATAAAAATAAAAGTCAGCAATACGTGTGATTTAAATCGAAAAATAAAGCGACTGTTAGCTACATTCCACAGTCAGATGCAGTTATTCAATTTAGTTACAACACTTCGATTCATACCAATAGATTGTCATATTTATTACCATATTTCTGCAAAACACGACATTTCAAACTAGACTACCATACTTTATTACCTTAAAGTAAACAATTCTACTCTAGTGAAACTAATGATAGCAGAAGACAATTGTTGATGTGGAAAAGTAGCATTGTATTCAAATCCGGTGAATGAGAGCCACAAAGTAATTATTAGTTTGAGAATAAGGTACGACAAACGTCCATTTCTCTATCGATTATTCTGTGGGTGATATTTCACGAAAACTATCTTCAAAATTATCAAGACCCTAAAAACCACCAAAAGAATGGCTTCTGAAGAGTCGATGAGGAGCATATGGAAGTGCTGAAAACCTACTAAAAATGTCTACTTATTAAGTTTGTAATTAAAATTACAACAATATGTTAACCTATTAGAAAATTTGTTTTCTGATTCTCCTACTTTCCTACAGTGATAGGAGGGCCAAGGAACATCAGATTATGGAATGATACTGAAAAAAAGCTTTTTCATCATTTACAGAGCTTACGTAATGACTTACATTGCGCAAAGTGAATGAAAAATGAATAGTCACTATCGTTGAGCTTACACACAACAGCCAATAATTGCTGGTTTGAATACTATGAAAGCTCAGTTTCTTAATCAAACTCCACTCACTAACTTATTTCTTTATCTACAAAAACAGTTGGAACATCTATAGTTGACTAACATTTGATTCTTGGATAGAATTTTCACAATTCAATCCGTCTTTACCTTGTTTGAAGCTTCATTATTTCTTAGAGTTAGGAGTATTTCCAAACAATGAAGCTGATGTAATTTAGGAAACAACTGTGGTGAATTAAAGCAAACCATTGCTAAATTCGTATATGTCAGTTCTTCTCTGAAAGTAGTCTATCTTAGTATCACCACCGGAATCCGTAAGCAGATGCCTTTGAATTTCGTTTTACAAGATGAAGTACGAAAATATCTGTGGAACCAGAAAGATAAATTTCCTAGTAAATTTGTGAAACTTCAATCCTTTCATTTAAAAGTGATGCATTATTGACACTAATGGCATACTAAAAATGAACAGCACAGTTTACTGAGTAATCTACAATGTTAGTTTATACAACAAATGAGTGCATATGCTATTTACATCACATGTTCATCCCATTCTATAAAAAAAATCTTAACCTTTATCAATACTACCGTTAGTAAATAGTATATGATTACTGAAACTTCACAAAAGAAGGTTATCGTGCTTTCAGTCCACTGTGAACAAACTGTGATAATGAGTGAAATACGAAATAAATTTTAGTGCAGAGTGTAAACACTTAAAATGTAACTATTACCTCCAACATATTTTATCCAAGAGGAAAAAATCACATATTTGCAAAAAAAATTGTCATAAACATGAGAACTTTTACTGCAGACATTCACTAAGCTGGACATAAGCTCACAATTTTTAAAAGTTTTCATAATACACTGAAATCATTTAGAAAGCTATTAAAACAGACACTAAAGAAAAGTTTCTCATCCTTTGGTAAACCTTCCAAGTTAGGCAGATATCATCAGCTGGTTGTAAAGTCATTTTTGTGACAAATAAATGAAGTAGACAGCTTTTTTCAAAAGGCATCACGAATAAACACTGCTAGTGATGAGGTCAAAGTTGAGCTAGAAAACTGCTTCTCATTTCACGGTTGTTAAAGTTCGTTCAGTAAATAATAGTTCCTTTAGAAATTTTATACCAATTCCCGTGTACATGCCAAAGCACACACATTAGACGAACAGAGAGAAGGGTTTGTGATTGAATGCGCGGGCACATTTTGAATAATCTTCAACTGACAGGAAGAAAAGTCTTCAACAAAACTATTGTTCGCCACCTTAACAATGGTGGATATGAAGTCGATATTCAGAAGTCCTTCCAAATAAATGATGGACTGATGAATTCGAATTTTTCGCGTCTCGCCGAAGCGTTAGCCACTAAACGATTGAAACCGAACTTATGTGTTCAGACTTAAACAGTTATTAGTCTATGCCTTCCGCAGTAAAAACTTGTTTTTTAAACAGTCGTCATATTTTTCATATATTATTGCCGATTCAGACACTTTGGGTTTATGGATACTGGGTTTTTTATGTTTCATTTTGCATCCTTGACCTAATTACCTGAGCTCTACTCACATTAGATCTTTTTCATCTAATCCTCCTATATATTGGCAAACTTACTATTGCCTCCGTCTGTTTATTCACTTATATCGTGCGTTTTCAATTACATCACATCGATGCTACCTACAATTCAAGCCAACAATTCTGTAGCGAACTGATTCAAGTATCCGAACCCTTATGTGGATTGATATTAGCATATTCCCCACTTAAAGCCAGGCTAAAATTATAGACGGAACTAAAGATGGTCCCAGATAAATAGGCCTCCCACTAACTTGACAATTCAGCACAATACTAATTAGATAAGACCTATATATATATATGCAAACGCAATTAAGATAACAACTCAAAAGCTTAATTTGTTCAGTATTCACTTGTATATTAGGCCTGCTGAGTACTCTGCTGAGCAATAGCTCAACATGTAAGACGCTGAAGACAACAAGGCATACAAGTAAAATGAGCAGGGAATGAAAAAATATACAATTATGAAGGACCACTTAGGCTTCGTTAAGTAAAACATAAGAAGATACACAAATAAAATCAGCATAGCATTACAAGTTAGCAGTATTTTTTTGAAAACTACACTGTTTATATCTAATGTCATAAGAAAATATACTTCAACTGAATTCCAACTTCCCGTATTTTTAAAAACAGAGTTCCAACTGGTCTGGAAACTAAAATAACCATATAATCTAGGTCATGTCAAGACTATGTATGAGTTATAGTAGGATTTCCTATAAATTTTCAGAGTCTTCACTCCAAAGGGTTTGACACAACATTTTGGGAGTTATTTTTCATTGTAATTCTGAAGAATAACCTATCGATCTTGTCCTTATAGCTGCCCGTAGAATGATAGACTTGAAGGTGACAACAGTCCTATTGTGACCGTCAGTCGTATACTTTGGGCACTTAGAACCACATGCCACTTACCAAACATTTCTATACATCAAAATAGAACTTTTGGTTGAACAGAGTAAAAGACGATCGGAAGAAAGAAATCCTAGTTTAAACAGCATATTTATAGTCAAACTTAGTAGTTGGTGAAATATCTTCAAGCCAAGCAACAATGTCGTAATAAATATTCAAAAGATACACATCCGTTTTATGGAATATGAGAACAGATAGAATTCATTTTAATGTTTAAAGAAAACCAAATAGTTAAGTCATTGAAATATCTTAGGAAAAACAGTTAGAAAGTATCAACCATGCATCCATTTACATCGGCCACAATTATTTAGGTCATTTATTTGAATGGGAAAGTGCAACAGTAAAATGTTTCTACTCCAACTTTATGGCAATGATATGCGTGTATATCTTAACTGTGGATCTGGTTTTCAAGCCAAATCTTGCATTATAACCCCCTTCTTAGGAAATTCCTTTCTGTCCTTCACTGAAAATGCCAAGAGAAATGTACATCAAGATACCTCTTGTAGTTCACCCTTTGGCCAACTTCTGAAAGGTTTTGGCTTTCGAGTATAAAAATCTTTCTGAGTTGGAAATCAAAACACTACAACTAAATTTTTCACATCATTCGATTAAATATCATTCCATGTAACATTAAAACTCAAATGGTAATTCATATGAAATTCCAATAATTTTTATGGCTAATCGTTTCAGTATATCTTTCTATTAAAGGTAAACAGTTCGATTATTGTCTCATTGTTATCAAACTAACATTTATAACAATATTTATTTAGAAGTAGTTTCTTCAACATGAATCTGATTTAGTGGCGAATACATCTGGAAAATGGAAATAACTATGCTTTAACAAAGATTGACAGATTGATGAATAGGAAACATTTGACTAAGGCAGAAAGAAATGTAAACTTTACATCTTACCGTATAGTAAAATTGGCTCAATGAGCAACTCGAACTTACTAGTTAATAGTAGATTATGATAAAATATCTTCTTAAGGTATATAATAAAGCTGTTTATTCATTGTGTTCAATACTAGTATACTAAAAACTATAACAATAATAAATCCTAACCATTGAAAATAACACCTATCAGTTATAGAGTATGTTTACAAACTACCAGCCAAATCTTTTGATTATTGATAAAATCAACGTCCAAGCAAAGTTGAACAAAGCTGATAGCAGTGATTAGTACAAAAAAAAGGAAACTTTCGTAAACTAATCATCAATGATTACTTTGCTAAATAATACATAAAATAAAAACTGATGTACAGACAAATGTAGGCAAAAATAAATTTTTATCTGCCGGTAAAAAAAGTAACACACATTTTAGCAAACAGTAATCTCTGAAATTATTTAAGTTTACTGATAACAAGTAATAGCAGTTTTAGCAGATCTCTGTCACACTTTCGTGTATTCCAGTTTATGTAACCTATTTTAACTTATTCCCCGCAATCCCCTCTCCAGCAGATCTAAAATAATGAGGTTAAAAACACCAGTATACGTAAAATATCTGAAAAGAATCGATAATTTTTAAGTATTTAACATGTCAGAAATAATTACTTACTATAACAAACGAAGAAATTAAAAGGATTCGTTACAGTTTGTAGGCTATAATTTATCTATGAAAATACTTATTTCAAAAATTGAAATATCGCTTACACGATTTAGTTTGTCAGTTCAACCCTAGAATTATTTATAACAAAGCTATTCAGCAGTTTTAATTGTTATCAACACAGATGATAAAATTAAATTGTTTATTTCCATATATTTTGGCGCGTTACGAAAAGCATTTCCAACAAACCATAGATATTCATCAACAACTCCCTACGCTTGCTCGTTACTGAAGCTCAGATGGCCAGAATGAATAAGCAACAAGGAACTCTGGCCTGGCAACGAACCAACTAAGAACCTATCGCTCAACAAATATGCAGAAAAAAGTGGAGATAGATTGGACACGAACTGAGAAGTCCATTTGGGGATATCATTTGACAGGCCAGGTCATCTAGTATAACCCAGATGGGAAATGGCAAGTTGCGATTTTGAGGTGAAGGTGACATGGAGGAGATGGTGTTAGGAGGAAATGGGAGCTAGAGGGCTGTCGTGAAGTCAGGTTGAGAAGACTGCAGAGAAGAGAGTGGAATGGAGACGTGCTACTGAAGCGGTATGTTCCACTAGGAGCCCAAGGGAAAATAATAATATTAATAATTTCCGCACATTTAATAAAACAATTATTTTGAGAATGATTACCGATAACTAAATCTTTCTCAGCACATGATAATATAAACAAAAGTTATAATCAAATTTGTCAGTAATTAAAAGTGTCACATGAATACAATCAAGGGAAAATAAAATTTCAGAGTAAAATCAGCTAAATAAAGTATGGAGTGTGTGTGTGTGTGGAGTGAAGTATGGAAGTGTCCAAGAAAAAGTGAATTAGTAAGGCTGTTTGATTCAATTTTGTGCAAATAACTAAATTCAGTGATAAGAGTTAAATAAGTTTTTGATAATAATCTTTCCAGAAGTCTAAAAACACTACCAGTGCTGTTAGTTCAAACGTTATATCAGCCAAAGATATTGCCTAGATAATTACTTACATTCAAAGAAAGCAAGATTATTATAAAAAGACATATAAACAGTTTTTGATAAATCAGTGAGTGAAAAGCATTACACAATGTAAATGACTTACTTCGGTAGGAGTGAGATGATAGTACTGTTTACCACAATGAAAAATAATTTCCGTGTAATTTGTCATCTGCGTTAACAGGCTATTTTATTTCAAGGTAACTTAAAAATTCAATGATGCTATGATAGGTATGACACAAACAATAATGGTCATTTCGTAATAATCTTCTACTGATAGAGCCGCATATGGTTAGGTGACTTTAGTGTGAACATAATTTTTTATGATTTTGTATAAAACATATCAGAAACAACGTGCAAACCATTCACCAACAAACAGATATACTATCATAGATGTGATGGAATAAATACGTCAGAGACAAATAAACAAAACAATAACAACCTAACTGTGTCAAAACACTACTTTGTAAACAAAATAATAATCTCTGGTGAAGTAATAATCAAAGCAGTGTGAATATTAACAAATATTTCAGTAAGGTATTACAATTACATATCCAAACATAAATGTATATAGATTGTGTTATAAAAAGATCACTAGCAGAAATATTGTCTTCGAAGATCATGATACCCGTCATTGAATAATAAAATCACTAGTGTGCGTAACATCTCTTAAAAGGAAAGTGAATGTGCGATAATAAAAAAGAGTGTATTTCATGAAATTTAATTAAGTTTTTACATTGCTCGATTGAGATTTTATTGTGCTTCTTTCACGAAATCTTTCACGACTGCTGATAACAAGATGAGATACAGAAATAAATAATTCAATGTAGAAGACTATAGAAGTAGATTAGCAATGAACAAAATTGTATACTTTTTAGTAATATATGATGCTAGATACATATTATAAAGATTATCTGACTTGAACTTTATCCGAAGGGAACACTTAAGTAAATGCAGATATACAAGTAAGGAAGGATTGTTAAGTGAGAGAGAAACAGGACTAAAATTCTCTCAATTATCAACCAATGTCGTGTATTCACCCTGTACTACAATTAGTTAGATACATTGGAATCAAACAATGCATAACTATGACATAAAACAAGCATTTCAAGGTTGACCACACTCGTATTTTTTAAACTGTACCATCTGCACAAGTAACTGAGTGCTTTTAAGAACCTCAACTAAATGGTATAGTGTAGGCATATGTGGAATGCGACCTCAGAAGTAACTAATGAGTTGCCTTAAAAAGCGTTTTACAACCTTTTCAGAACCTTTTCATAATGATCACATAAATACCTACAAATACTGATATCATTAACTCAGAAATGAACCAAAAGTAGTGTTGCATAAGTTTTTTACGCTTAAGCAGAATATAATGAAGGAAATCAGCAAAAGAGAACTTACAAAGCAGAAAACTATGATAACAGTTATAAGGCACGAGAGAAAGAATAAAAAGGAGACGTGGTGAGAGAACTGAATCACAATAAAATGACACAGTTGGGATTTGGAGGGAGATAAGATTTAAATTCGTCTGGGCTACTGCACCCGAATAATAGTCACAGTGTCTAAAGTCTGCAACCGCCGGCTCCATTTGTGTAACCGACTACAACCAAAAAGTCCCTTGGTCTGACCAGTGACCAATCAGTATGAATAAAGTTCACTAAATGACGGAAATGACTTAGTAAAAGCTTAAAATATGGTGTCACAGAGTCAATTAACACTGTTCAGAAATTTTAGAACTGCAATGTAAGGTTGTAATAACAAGGAATTCCTGCTTAAAAGAGAATGTTCTTGTACAAGTACTTACAGATGGAAACCTATAAGGGACATATTACTTTCTTTATATCCCACCACAATTGCAGAGTATAACAGAAAGTGCGCAACTCAAAGATATCTGTACGTGTTTATACGAAGGTAAATGATTTGCAGACATAGCTATATTTACATTACTTATGATTGTTGAGTCATTGACCCACATTTTATCTTCTTCTATCCTTTTCCAGATTCTGGCAGCTACTGCAAACCTTACACTCTTCTGCACATCCCACTGTAACAACGTACAGGCTTGACAAAAACCTAAAGGCAGCTGATCTTTGCAATGAAAGTAACTGAGTTCGTGGTTTTAAACACCACCCAAACTGTAGCTTACATTGGTGATATTATCATACTGAGTAGCTGTAAAGCGGAGCCCCAAGAAAGTCATCAGCATGCTACATGTTACTTACAATGAAGTGAACAACTATGAAGTCTTTCTTGAATCGATGAAATATTTATTCATCAAAGCAGAATCCATAGGAGCGCACAAGATCTATAGTATACCAGTAACAATACCTAAAACTTTATCTTTAGGTGAGATCATTCCTGACTTCATAACTTATAACTGCGTAGTTCCTAACTTCATCATATGATGTCTGCAAACCACTTAATCGGATATTCGGCAAAAACAACAAACTGCTTCTTTTCAGGAATTCAAACGAATTTTGAACAAGTTAGACTGGGTGGTGGGTTACAGCCTTTTCTTGACACATCTCCTAAACCATTCCATCTGTTTGGTTATAAATGCTTCAACTTTTGGGAAAGAAGCAGGAACTTCTAATTTTTCAAAATGGCTTAAAAGGCTACTATGTAGTCTAAGCGTTACTAGTAAAACTACAATTATATTAAAATGCTTTGACTCAGGGTAAGATTCCTCCACATAGCCATTCTTCAGAGGCTTAATTCTTGTATCACTGCAGTCCTACGATAGCCATTTCTATATATCACATATGCTGTCCGAGAATTGACCAGTGAATCGAAAGATATGACTAAGCAATTTACTTCTAATCACCAAGCTGGTAGGTATTTGTGGCAGTTACCTCTACAATTCTTGATAGAGATCATATTACTATGATTACAATTGACGTTTTCTGAGTCTACCAGACCAATAGGAGGATGTTCTATGTCCAAAGAATAAGCCCATATACAAATTTTTGGTAAGTTCGAAACGGGCAGTGTTCGAATTGCACGAGAAGCAGACAACTCGCGAAATAACTAAGACGTTCCCTATGCTAATCATAACTACACCGAACTTGTTGTTGAGCAGCAAGCCTTTCTAGCAAAATAATTTGTCGGTCAAAACCTGTACAAAACTCTCGATGTATTTACCTTGTAAAAAAGACCATACTCCCCAAACAATACAATTGATTCTTCGTTTAAAAATACAAAGTGTATCAGGAATTTCGACAAAGCTATGAATCATAAACATCTGGAATAGTCACTGGATATAATGTATCAGTATAGACACTTTGATTCAAAAAAGAACTGACTTCAAGCTTGGTATACGGGCGAAAGCTTCCTACATAAGAGATATTTTCGAAAGTAATGTAAAATATTTAAGCCCAATGGTAGTCACTTCTACCTTGGCCTTTACTTATTTTGGTCTCGGTGTGTTTCGTTCCTTTCTTGTTTTTTCCACTTCTCCCTTCATTAGATTAACCTTTGTACTTTTGTCTTCATTATCATTTTTACTTTTGCATTTATTAATTTCTGGCGTTACTTCATTTGACCTTCCTGATATTTGAAAATTTTAACAAAACATTTTCAATTTATTCTAGTTAACTTATCTCACTCACATTACCAAATCCTTTGATTGTGGATTGACTCTACCACGTTTTCACGCCTTTGCACTTTATAAACCAGTTTAAAATATCAAATAATCCCTTCTTGTTATCACTCAACGTTTACGTCATCAAATGGTAATATTATTACTACAACCATTATTACTGTTATTTCGACTTCCTATTATTTAAATTAAATCTTCCTCAAAGATTGTAGTCCTTAAAAAGCTAAAAGGCCAAGCGAAGTATACTGAAAACCCATAAGTCAATGAAACCTGCGAGGTGAGTAGGAGAATACGTCACGATGGAACCTATGAAAATAAATGCTTTCTTCCAAAAATAAGACGGTCATCAGAAGGAAAGTTTTGTATTACACCGTCGTTTTCCACAAATTTAGCTAGTAACTACCAAAGATACTAATATTCATAATCCCCAATAAGAATGAACCACAGTGAACAATACTTAAACCATTAGAAGGAGCAAATTAATTTTATATGTGTTGTATGTAGTATTTATTCACTTCATGCACAAAAATCTAAAAGGCTTTCAAGATAATCAAGCCACTTTTAATAATCCTGAAGAATATTAGAATTGACAACAATCAAAAGAATTCAGTTTGAAGGTTTGAGGGGATCCATTGATTTCAGTTTAACAATCACCACTGACTGACATCAATTAGAGAACTATTGAAAACCTCATAGCGCTGGACATGTTTCGTCCAGTATGGAGCTCTTCATCAGTGTACACTCATGAATCCGCAAGGTATCGTGATGAATAATAACTTGAAGCCAATGAATCTGCCCAAACCTGAAGCTTGAATTACTTTCCAGCGCTTATTTGTGATATGCTTTAGGATGAGATTTATCGAAGGTCTAGTGAGAAGGCAAATCAAGCCGGACGTGGGTAAAAGTACTAAAAGAAGACGTTGTTCAGCAGGACAATCCGAACCACTGGGTTTCGAACCAGTGGCTCAATGGTAACGTGTTCGTAGCAAAATCGGAAGTTCCCGGGCTTCTTCGCTGTCACGGTTATGGGTTTACAAAACTGTCCAGTCCCATACTGGGAAGAAGTAGTAATAATTCATAAGTGTGCATAAATCATAGAAGCCATTCATTAGCAGCTAAATCGCTAGGCTAAATACATTATGGTACACTTAGTACATAAGATCAAGTTAGGAATTCCTCTTCCAGACATGTGCAACTTTGAACCAGTCTGGTCACTGTTTAGGCACATGCCTCCATAGGAGTTACCGAGAAAGATATGGATAACATCTATCCACTGCCGATATGAAGTAAGTCAGTGTAAAGTTAAATAACCACTGTCTTTATGTCTGAAATTCATGCTTTCTAAGGAGGCGTGCTTACATTTAAGGTCAACGTTCTGTAACACTTCCTTTTAATGAAGATATCTCAGAAGTAGCTAGTGGGTGCTAGTTATCCTTAAGAAGTACCTTACTGTCATCATAACTTCAATGAGATAGCAGTGCAAATCCACCTCACAACATAAATATCCCATAGAACTTTAACTCCGAAATTAGATGTTTCCGTGACACGTCTCCTCAGTTTACCTTTTCGGCATGACGTCATCGCATGGAAGGAGTTTTCCAACCAGTGTAATGTGGATAAACCATTGTAATAAGTTAGCTAAACCACTGAGCGTAGTGAGCAGTTGAGGTCAAAAGTTACTACTGAGGTTACAACAAATTTCATCTCAAAGTGACCTTAAACTGAAGGTAAAGAGTTTACAGAATGTTAGCAGGTTACTTTGAACAACTTCAGATAAATACTCCCCTCTTTTATGTATCGAGTAGGCTGCACAACTTGCTATAGCAACAAAATTCATTGCATCAAAAAATGTTTGATAAGTGGTATGCCTGACCAAAACAAGATAAGTACCGTAACGATAAATAAGTCAGGAGGAAACAGTATTGTTACAGGATATTTCAAATCCAGTCTAGGTAGCTAAAGACCGAAAATAGAGAAACAATTAGATATAACTGATGTTTAACACATCAATCCAGGCATTTTACCAATAACAGGTATTTTTTCAAACTCACTGTATAGTCCTACGTACCTTTGCTTCAAGGATTCTTTCGATAATTAGTTTAGTTTTAAGATAATACACAGAATACTTTATGTATGAAAAGAAATATGCTACGAATAGCATTGGTGACTGCTGCTGAATGCTTCATTCACATACTAGACCCATTATAATATTCACCTAAAACAAGCTACTATTTCGTTACCAGTTGGTAAGCGGAGTTTTTATAAAATTATTCACTGAAGATCTAAGATTTAGTGGAAATAATGGTGGAATGTTAGGAGCTTTTTTTCTTCAACATACAAATTTAAGTAATAAGTAAATTGCTGATAGTCATAATCACACAAGCTACTCATAGCCTGAAGAAATATTATAAAGACAGGGACTTCAAGAAACTCACATCAATTTAAAAAAATCAATATAAATAAAAAATGTTTCAGAGAATAAATAGATTTTCTTCTATTTCAGTGACCAAATAACTCCAAAAGTGAAATAATGAAGAAGGTGAGGACTTAATCATTCCAAACTGTAGACGCTACGTATCCTACCCCACCGATAATAAAAATCAGGCTAACTACTTCACAAAATGTTTTATAAAGCATGTCTGCAATCGATGTAGTAGCTAACACGTTCGAACATAAGTAGACAACAAATTTAAACAAGTCTATTCACTCATGGGCACAACTTCATAAGCTACTGAAGAGTATACTTCTGTGCTGACTTGTTTATTCAGCAAAATGTATAGCGATATGATACCATTTAGTGGATGACATTTGGGGCACTACCTATTAGTCATAATCATATTACCTTGTTACATACCAAGCAACCATGTTAATATGAAAAGCCCTTATCATCAAATGAAAATGAAATGGGTAGTCAGTATGCATGCTAAGTAATTTTCGAGTCTAACATTTCTGGAATATAAGGTGGAATGAGAAATTTCACCTGTTAGGCGTGATAAGCATTCCAGCTAGCAATATAAAAAATTATTACTATAAGGACTTACACAGCATTAGTAATAAATACTGTAGGTAGTTGTTCATAATCCCATGACGATGCACGATATCTTTGAACAAGAAATTGTAATAATGCTTCTTCAGTTGGTGGAGTCTTACCCAATTCCAACTGACCCTTTGAATCTGGTGCCCAACAATTAGGGCATAAAGAAACTGGTGGAAATTGGATTTTAGGTGCCGTGGGATCTTCGGATAACTGACCAGCCAAACGCTTATTCACACGATTATGTATAATCGATAACCACAGTACACTATCTCTTGAAGTTACTGGGGCTTTTGGAAGAGTTGGGATAATTGACTCATCAAAAAAGAATTCATCTGGATGAGGACGGGCACGATTCTCTGGTAGGATTGATTCACCTGGTCTTACTATATTTGCTGTATTCAGGGCAAAATGAAATGCACAATATGAACACGAGAAAAACCGAGGAACAAAGCGATTCAAAGCGTGAGATACTGAGTCCATTGGGGGATCTGAAGATTAAATATTTAGAAAAAACAACGAGAAGTCCGTTTTTATATGAAAAGATACAATAGCATATTCAAAAGCATCCTACTTCATTGATGCACACAAAGACTGTGACAGACATTCTAATAGTTTGTTACCTTGTCATCAGACTTCATAAGCAGAGCTATTGATGTAACAACTTCAATCTTCGTAGAAAATAACTAAGCCAGCAGTAATTCAATACCATAAAGATGATTACTTTCTACATCTAACAGACGATTTTCGTTTTAAAAGGGTATTGACTAATTAGAATGAATAAAAACGGATATCAGCCAAGTAACCTGTTAAATGGGGTTACAAGTTTACATTGATTTGAGCTAATATAAACAAACCAACTTTTCGAATTCAAGTGAATAAAATGAATTCAAACCCATGAATTAATGCTCTGAAACCAATTCTCTGTATATTGAGCCATTATGGATCCAAACGAAATGCAAATAACCAGTGATAAAGATTACAGACAATGGGTGTATAGTACAGTGACATGACAGTGTGTAATAAATAAACTAATGATGAGCGTGTAAGTCGATGAAATGAAGTTCACTTTATTGACTGAAATACACAAAGGTTTTGCATGGTTTTTCACATAAACATTATGATTATATTTATAATATGATAAATAAGGCAGTATGGAAATTTAATGGTCACCAGTAGGTAACTAGCGTAATTTTATATGAACTATGATCAAGATTTGACCTAACTGTATGGTAAATATTGGGTGCTGAGTAAAAGGTTGACATTAGACATAGTTTGTATTTGTGTAACTCACAGAATGCTTGAAATCAAATAACTCCGTTTCGCATGCAAATCTGGTCCGACCTTCTTCAGCGAATTAATCAAAGTTAAAATATCAAGAGTAGTTTGATTTCAAACACCCTGTGACTTAAAAAAATACAAAAAATCCAATGTCATCCAGTGTAATTGTCTAGTCCTTATTGCTTAGCGTTGATCGAAGTCCGTCGATAAAGGTCTGTAATCTACCGAAATGGCGAAGTAATACAACAGTCTGGTCCACTATCTTCTTGTATTGGCGTGTATATATATATATATATATATATATATATATATACTGGGTGATGATTGAAGGTGAGATGACAATCTGGACCGCGGCGGAATTCGAACCAGCGACCCCCGGGTTACCGGCCTGGTGCTCTACCAACCCAGCTACGAGGTCCAACTGCTGACCAGAATTTTATTTCACTTCAATCACTAAGGGTTTTGCCCGACTACCATGTGAATTCGTGACGCGTTACTACCGCTTGATCATATTCACACTGCGTGCCTAGTCAGAACTTCTCATCCCAACCCAAATCTAACTGAATCAGAGAGGGGGAGCATCATATTGATTATGATCTGACTATCTAAGATGGCCGTAGTTTGACAGACTAGCATTTGTACTCGGTGATGATTAAAGGTGAGATGAAAATCTGGTTAGAATCCGGCTGCGGTCCAGATTTTCATCTCACCTTCAATCACCCAATTCAAATATATATACGTATATTTATATATATATTTATATCCTGAATTTTCTTCTCCAATACTTTTAAAGCTATCATAGTACTTTCACAAAATAGCGTATTCTACTAAAAGTGGTAATATTTATGCATTTGATCTTTAAGGTAGAAATACACTCCAAAAATTAATTTAGGTATGAGAAGATATCATTAAAAAGCATAACTGTAATACAAACCTGGGCTGGAAGATGCCAACAAATATTGTTCAACAGTCAAAGCATGAAATAAAGTCCATAGACCACAAGGATATCCTCGATAATGCGGTTTGCTACCATTACATCCGATAAATGGACCTTTATAGATAGGGAACTGATGAAAAGATAGAAAATGATATTTGAAGAGTAAGTTTAAGTTAAATAAATCTTAAAACTGTAAGCCACACAGAGGTACCCCAATACATACAACCCTTTTATTTCGATAGATAAAGAGTGATATTTTTTCCAGTGTTCTTTAACATAAACGATCTTTAAGCACTACGTGGTGCATATTTTAAATATAGTGCGGAAAGCAAATATTCAGAAAAGACTGATTATGACTGGTTAAATAGCTATTTGATCTGATTAAAAAGAAAGCATGAACCCAATAAAGTGAAAAGTTTTGGAAATTGTAATTTGGTGTCAGATATTAGAGGTTAATCAACAGGAAGTAATTCATGCTTTGACTGGCTTAATGCCGAAGCCTCTTACTTCAGCACTGAGTAATAACCCTCTATTCAAAGACTACTAGACTGTAACTTCAAAAGTTAGTGCATCAGAACGAAAGGATATTTGGATAAGTTGTGATATTATGGAACTGATTAGTTAAACTCGATCTATGCATTATTTCGGTATTTATATATCCCCCAATAAATGTCAAACAAATTTACTTTGTTCTACATACTTTTGTAAACACAAATACCAAAATTATGAACATCATTTACCTAATGCTTAAATCTTTTCAAACTTAGTTTGCGTATCTATAAATTCGATCTATACGCTCTGTCAAATGGGTTTATACAATACGAAACTTCAGTATGCGTTTGAGATTTGAAATTTCTATATTTCACTATATGACGACTGATACGCGTAGATGTTGGATTTTTTTAGTTAAAAATCTTTGAGTTCTATGTAAATGATCTTCATTTATAGAACCAACGTCACAAGACTAGTTATTTTATTCAGTAGAATGAATAATTTTACTGATTAGCGTGTTCTTGAACGCTGTCATAAACTCTCTAAAGTTGAACACAAGCAAAGCATAGATAAGAAGATAAGAAAAGCATTCAAGCTTCGCTTCATGTCTACGTATATCCTGCAAATCTGAATGTTTTATGCATATGGTGAATGATTTGAAAATGTATCTGAAACTTTTCCCTTATTTTACATAATATATAATCTTTTGAGGAATTTAAACTTGGTCAAGAGTAATTTATCAAATTTTAGAAAAATACGTACATACTGGTGCTTCACCTACCCTTTGCTACGTTTTCAAAAGTGTAAGGTTGGACAAATAACGTTTAGTGATGATTACCACTAACGACTTCTCAACAATAAGCCATTTTTAAGTGAACAAACTTTATAACGAGAAAATGACGACAGAGAACAACTGAACAGGGTCGTAAAAGGTACATCTAATTTATCACTATTTCATGGTTCAAATATTTATTGATTTAACAGTATTTTATTACACATGGTAGACCACCTAAATAAACGAATTAAATATTTCGAGTTAACTTTATTAGTTGGTAGGACGAGATCTCTCCTTGCAACCAGTTAGTAAAATGGAAAAGCTTCATGCATTTCAGTGATACAGCCTTTACAGAGAAACAGTAAAAGTTTTATGACTTATTTCGTTCCATGTATCAAACCCAGACTAAATGTCACTTTCAGTGATATAAATCTTAATGGATTTATGATTTATGTCTTGGGCGACTGTCTTTTAAAGATGTGATCAAAGTATTCAGAATCCTTACTGTTACTCTCCAAAAGCAAAATAGCATTAAAAAAATGAAAACAGTAAAGCAAGATATATTACTTCCATGAGCTAGTTTATAATCCTTTATTGAACAGATATCCTCATAAGAGGTTTTTCAACTGTTAGTTAGTTACAAGGAGGTCCATTTACTTTAAAAGTGGTAAAATATTATGTGAAATTTCATCCAAAAGACGGAGATTATCTGATTCAAGTTCAAAATTACGATGCAACTCAATATTCAACACTCGAATAGTGAGCGGTACAATATAGAAGTGAAGATACCAGTATCTTAAGAGTGGTTTATTTCTTCATCAACGATTGGTAGTGTTACATATAGGCATGGCTGTTTACGATCAAATATAGAAACAGTTTGACAGCCAAGACCACAAAGAATTGCAGACAGTTCATGATCGACACCATTTTGTATCGTTTCGTGCTTTCAGAAGAATCCAAGGGAATTGTCTGCATTTACATATTGAATTTAGACCAAATACCACATATATTTGCACAGGTTATTGCAGATTGTTTTGACACTCAGCATGATGGAATATGCAAGCTGTCAATAACAGGGCACTAAACCTTCATAAACACTTTTTGCTACTTCAGATTTATGTTAAATTGATGAGCTTCTTATGGACTCTCCCAATAATTTGGGTGTGATAGTCAACTGATATGGTTTATCTGACTGCAACCGGATACCGCATCTGGTAACTAATGAAAGGTAACTGAGGATGACTTGAATAGAATAGTGAGATGGGATTCCATATTGAACACTCAGACACTAATTTATGCTTATTTCTAACCTAGCCAATAATAACCATCACGAAGAATCAACAGGAAAAATCTGAACGCATCCTTTTTAATTCGAGATGATAGCAAAGAATAAAACAATTAATGCGAATGTAAAGGTTTCAAGTATGAGAAACCAGATTATGAATTTCTCTGAAATTCGGATTCTTTGAAAAAGTTTGACTGAAACTAAATGAGTTCCTGAAAATATCATGTCGAATTTTCGCAAAAATACTGATTCTGTCAACAATCGCTGATGTCAATTTCTTTTTTGGTTTCAGAAAAGGAGTTATGACTGATACCTCATGCAATTGGACTGAGAATAAGATTTTAATCAGACATAAAAGCATTGTTTCAAAACTTCCGGTTGACCTTCTTGAATTAGATACCAACAATTCGCCATTTAAAGAAATACCACCCAATTGTCCTCCGAAGCCCTAGAATTTTATTCCCAGAAAATAAATTGATGACTACATTCAGGCAGCATGAAAAAAGTACCAACATAATACGTTTATCTGAGAACATACGTACAATATTCGAATGCAAAATACGCCGTCTACATTTCAAACCATACTTAATATTAGTATATGGCTTACGTTAGATACACATAACCTGAATACCTTCACCTACCTTGGTGATTTTGAACTCTCCATGCGATGAAAACCCATAGTAGTTTGAGTTGTTTGGAGAAACATTCAGACCTACATGGTCATTTATTCAACTTCACAACATTTTTTCATCATTGACACAGTTGGGATAGTGTAAGTGAAAAAAGGTTTCCCTAGTTGATGCTAGTTCATGATGAGTACCAAATTGATATCAATAAATCCCAACAATTCCCCCAAACTGAATTAATGTAGTTCTCACTGGTGACTAGCTTCGAAAGATGATTCTTAAAGTTCTAATGGGAAGTCGTGATCAGTGGAGTCAACCAAGTCAAACATGAGGATATTTGCTAAACGACAAGATTGGATGATGGTGGCGCTCTATCGTGAACTGACAGAAGGAGGAAATATCAATCAGTGGGCTCCGACTCAATTGCTGAATAGTAACATGTTGGTTACGAAACCTGGAAGTCCTGGGTTCAATCCGTGGCGGGGTCATGGGTACGCACAGCTTAGGACGAAATAGCTATCCAGTACCCCAACGTTACCACTGTTTCTCCAATTGATGTAAATCTGTGAAGAATACTAATTTGAAAAAAGGTTTTCCTTAGCGAATGAAATTCTATTCGGATCATACAGCACTCATTACTGAATATACCTTAGCTTGAATGTCTGCAAATCACGCCTAGTTAACTAGTTCACTAGTTACTAGCCGGTCCTAAGCCCGGATGAAGTGGGAAGGTTGGACACAGGGCTAGCAACTCCAACCCGAAAAACCAGTCTAACCACTAAGGAAACTTTAAAGCATAAAGAAAATGTAAAAGATAAAATTAAATGTATTCCTAGCTGGGACCGGAGAGGCGAAATGACGCCGGTTGGTGAAAGCCTTCCGAAAGCCAGTTGACTGATATGTCTTCTCTCGATGGAAACGAAAGTAAGAATGCAGACATGGAATGTCCACATAATGTATGAATCTAGCAAGGCTGCGCAGATTGCAAACGGGATGTGAAGGTATAGCAAAGAAGTGATAGGAATCTGCGAGGAATCTCCAGATGAAATGAAAGTAGACTCTTCAAACTGTCAACTAGAGAAACAATAATATACTCCGATATTGTCACCCAGACGACAACCACAAGCACACTCATCGAGTGGATACCATGACGTCCCAAACAGCATCGAAGTCTCCCATCCAGTGGGAACTAATCTCCTCATATGGGATCATGACAGCTATATTCAACTCAAAATAAAGGAAAGTCACAATCATACAATGCTAAGCTACTCACCTACAAATAACGCAGATCAAGAGAAGAAGGAGAAATCCTACAGCCAACTGCAATCAGTACTAGGCAATATTCCACTCTGATGGCGACATCACAATTCATTCTAATGGGTGAGGTGACATGAATGTTAAACTTCGTGGAGCGGACAACACAGGAAGAGAATGAATCATGAATCGAGAGGCACTCGGTGAAATGAACGAAAATGGAGAACCGTTCGCAGACTTCTGCACACTCAACGATTTGGTGATTGGAGGCAGTGTGTACAAACACAAGGATATTCACAAAGCGACATGGATTTGATTTCACCAGACACCAGGACACACTACATTAGAAATCAGATCGACTTCACCTCAATGTGAAGAAAGTGGGGACGCAGACGCAGTCAGCCTACTGTGCACGAGGTCAGATCAAGAAGAGGATCAGATGCAGGTAGGTTCACACCACTCACAGCACTATCAAGTGCAAGGCACCTACCTTCAAAATCAAGTTGAAAGCCTTTACAGAAGTTGGTGATAGACCACAGACCCAGAACAGAAACTGCACTGAAGAATGAAACTACAAAGAACATCTTCACGTCAGACAGTCATCTGAAAAAATGCGAGACATTAGGCAATATCCCCGAGGAACCCTGTGTGGAAGAACACTGGGACTGTTTGAAAGAGATGTGAAAAGAAACCTGCATAACCGTTTTAGGAAGGAAAGAGAATCAAGACATGGAATGGAACTCGACGCACACGTGGGGGCTGATAGAGGAGGGAGAGGAAGATAGTGAAGCAGAAGATGAACCAGTCCAGTGCAGGGATGAACAACGAAAAGTGGAACTGAACACAACCTATAAAACACTACACTGGACAAGGTGAAGAAGAGTGTGCAAAAGGACAAAGGACACTTCTACGACACACTGGTAAGTGAAGTAGAACAAGCTGCAGGTAGGAGAAACCTGACAACACTATATCAAATAACCAAAATACTATCTAGGAAGAGATCAACTCGGATGAAACCAGTAAAAGGTAATGAAGGAAATCTAGTTAGCAAAGAGGAGAAACAAAAAAAACGATGAACTGACCACTTTGGAAAACTCTTAAATCGACCACTACCACAACCTGTAACTCATTCAGAAATACCACCAGCAGCCCAGCCACACAACTAACAGTGAACATAAGCCCCTTAACAATAGCAGAAGTCCTGAACGCCGTAAAGTTGCCGAAATCCGGGAAAGCACCAGAACCAAGTGGAATTCCTCTAGAAGCACTGAAAACAGACGCACCGACAACAGCGGACATGCTCACACCACTGTTGCAGAAGCTTTGCGAGGAAGGGAAGGGAACCGAAGGGGGAAACAATGAGTTGGGCGTCCGAGGGTAACATGGACGAGATCGCGTGAGGAAGAAATGAAAGCTACTTGGCAGTCGTGGAGCCAGGTTGAAAAGACTTAAGAGAACAGAGTCCACTCGAGATCTGCTACTGAAGCTCTATGTTCCACTAGAAACTCAAGGGATAAATAATATAATAATAATAAATGTCTGCATGTAGACCAATTTTTATTTCGTTTTGATTTGTAGTTTGCTAAAAAGCTAACTTGCTTTTGCCAAGCTTAAATTTAGTAGTCAGGCTAGAAAACAATAGTTTGTCAGATTTTATTTCAATTCAGGGAGGAACATTTAATTTCTTTATACAGTTAGAAATACTAATTATGCGTAGATAACACAATGTGGACAGGTACATAAGCCTTTAACAAAGCTTCCTTTAACTAACCCTTAAATAAAGATTTATCGTTTGACAAATAAACAGAAGGATTTAAATACTAAATTTATGATGCTGCAATCAAATGTATTGCGAAAGCGTTCTGGTAAAGACTGCCGTTTTGATACTACAAACTAACATTCGCGGTTTGAATACGGTTCGTTCATTTACTGAGATATATGATTATGCTATAACAGTTGACTACATTGTCTGTATGTCTGAGTATAGCTAACAGCAATTGGTCAGTGCAGTTTGTTATGTCACTAACATGAAATCCTGATTTTCATTCATAATCATCACCTGATGTACAAGAAGTGGGTATCGTAGCTCAGTAAACCATAAGTTGTTCAAAAGGTTCATACAATGAAGACTTATTCTGAGATATGAAGAAAACACTAACATTAGATTATTCACTGGGTGAATTTCATAACAGAAACAGTATATATGTCTCTACATAAATATTGTTGATAAACTCACCAAGTATGTAAAGACTCATACATGTAGATTGTATTCTAAGAGTATCATAGTATACCTGCCAGTCTACACACATGTTTTAAATGGAGTGGTTTTATTATTTTTTTAATTCTTTTTAATTGTCCATTCTTATTTTCATACAATGTCGTATGTGAACACAAGTGTATTTAAGTAGTATGTAAAGCACATTTTTGAATGTTTACTAACAAATTAATAATAACAGACCATAAATCATCATATCTATAAATACAAATAGTAAATAGAGTTAAAACGTACTTCAATTTGTTTAAGAAATTCAGTCCATTCTCTACCCGTTGTACTTGTTTTAGAATTTAACCAGGCAGAAATTTTTGTAAGATAATCTTTATATTCTTGAGAAGCTGGTAGCAACTAGACATAAAAAAAGTAAAATTGAAAAGTAAGCAATAAGTTATAAATATGTTCATTATGTTGACGATAATAATAATTTAAAAAGTGACTGAAATACAAAAATAGAAGATACTGAATTAGATGTTTTAGCTGCTTCCATATCACATTACTGAAATTAAATCTCATCGACTTATCTGTCATGTAAACTCAAGAAGAAGAAACAAATCAAATAATATAAGATGAAGGAACAATTCCACCGAGAAAGAACTCTACACATAATCTGTATGAGTATGAAGGTTCAGTGACTGCAGAAACTGTGTGTCATATATCCATTGGATCTAAATGTATACCATTTGGTTGGTTAACGGAATCAAGAATTTCTGAATTTCATCATAGTAGTTCACTGAAAAGTGTAGAAATCAAGTCAACAAATGTTTACTGCAATGACTTGTTAATGAAGAGAGAAACTGCCACACAAAGTGGAAAATTTCCAAATTTATCTCTGACCCTTATCCTGAATGGTTGTCGAGAAGAGAATATTAATCAGTTAACAGTTCAATTCTTGAACATTTGGTCAACTCTGGATATGTACCTCCACCAGAGTTCTCATTCAGTGTCACTAACACATTCAAAGAGAATAGCTTCCGACAGTTGTACACAGCAGAAGCACTGCAAATTCGCCAGTTCAAGCCTCATCTCTATATGCAGAAATAAATGTTCAATCTCGTGTCGTACCATGGTTTTAACATCTTGGCAATTTTTTTTGATCTCACATTATAATTACTTAGTTCACCATTATCGCCTTCATTATGACTCGTTTTCCTTTCTTCACCTTCATTATATCTGTCAAGTGAACACACTCAATCATATCTACCAAAGTTTCCCACCTTGTCAAACTCTTTGCCTTTCTCATTTTTTCTATTGTCTAAAAAATTATTACCTAATTACTCTCCATCCTTGATTTCGGTTTTCATCACTAATCTAATGATGCAACTATGTCCAATTTTTTGATAATAGACTGTTATATGTTTGTGATAGGTATAAGTACGGTTGTACAGCTACAGAAAATGGTATCGTCGAAAAAATAGCTTTCATTGCTGAACTGTCTTTCATTCTCTCTAATACTTGATGGGCATGTTTCGTCGTATCAGAAATTATAGTAAATCACCTGGTAAAACAATTGGCGCCAAAATATTTGTTTGTACACGACAATCCATTCAAATAAAATTAAACATGCAGTAGCATTCGACCAAGTGAATGCAAAACTGCTAATTTATTTGTTCTCAATGAGTACGACATACTTAGTGCAGTTAGTATGAAATTGGATTTCACCGTCATCTAGCGATACTATTAAGAGATGACAGTGAAATTATGACGAAACATGTTGTTCAACTATAAATACATAAGCCAGTCAACTTATCTCTTCCAGCCTACTTAAAAAGCCTAGAGTATACAACTCAGGTATTACTGACGAGTTATTTGATAATGACACATATTATTTATGACTTAGTTTGTGGAATTCCTGCATAAATTCTGCAGCAATACCATAAACATTACCTTGAAACTTTACCCTTTGGAATTTTTGCAGATAAATAAACCATTTTACCATCCGCCTTATAGCTTCAATAAATAATAATTTATCAAAAAATTATAGTTAAATTTACCAGTTTAATAAACATATTTGTAAGTGTATGTATTTGGGAGTAACATTATTTGGAAGATTTTCCCTGATATTAGATCAATTTACCTCGCTCAGATATTAGAGTAAATCTCTGAAATAGCTTTTCTATGTAGTTACAAACAGTTAAAAATAAAGCGAAAATTGCTAATAAACTTTTAACGTTAAGAGAATTTTAGAAAGGCTATGCGAACTGACCGTGAAGTCGTGAGTAAAATGCTCTTTAGCATAAGTATTTGAAGTTGTCCTCAACTCAACTTCCTCTTCCACATAACCTTAAGCGTAATTCGCTGGCATAGCAACGTTGGTTGCACGAATGGTGTCATAAAATTACTCAGTTTATGTGACGCCTATACATAAAACAATTCATTGGATTCAATCTGTACAAACTTGTTCTATTCGCGTAGCTACGCATATCAGCTATCAAGAAAAGAAGCTATCGGAAATAAGAGTCAGATTTAGTTTCACTGCATAATTCACTAAAGACTTAAGTTACTGTAAAAAAAACTCGTTCCAAGCAACATTTGACTTTATGATGAGGCCTTTCTAGTAGAGAGAGATTGATGTTTCGTATATTTGAAAAACCGATGCAACCAAAAAAGAATATTACAACATTCAACATCACAAAAGCTGAGATACTGACACGTTGATTTCTAGCTTTTTAGTGTATGACGAATGTACGCAACTAAAGTTAAAGTCAAAGATCAGCCCCAACGGGCTAGGTGCTGATGAAATCTCAGCTCGGAAACAGAAGCCCTGTTTATCGTTTGCCAGTTTGGGCCATCTCAGTCGTCGGTGATCCGATAACATGTTAAAGGGTGATTATCGTGCCCTACAATCCGTTCTATCTTATTGTAGGCCTATGAGACATGCACGTTAAAAGTAGAAGACATGAAGCGGTTACAAGGTTTCGATCGTAGATGTCTTCTTAGCATTTCTCGCATTTGGTGGAATTACAGTGTGAGCAACGTTAAACACAGCCTAAGGGTACTACACAAGACAGGCAAATCGACCGATGAGGTTGTGGACATCAGTCGACTGAGATGGCTTGAAAATGTACTGCGCATGTCAAGCCTTCGCCTTTCTCGACATGCTGTGCTAGGGGAACCACGATTAAGTTGGAGGATGGATTGTGGAGGCCAAATCAATAAGCGGTACCAGCCCATATAGTCTCTGACTGTTAGTCTGAGCCATGTGTATACAATTCCTAGCTGAGGTCCCTGAGAAGATAGGATCCAGCAGCTGAGGACTTTTGGTGACATGGCTGAAAATAAGTCACTGTGGTACAGATGTATTCACTAATTGACATCTTCTAGAGCTTGAATATTTGCTCTAACGTTTATCTTCAAATTGTTTAGTCTCTCACACAACTTGGTCTATTTCGATATCATTTTTTCTATCCACCTGCTCTTTGTATACTAGCTACTGTGGAGTGTGGTAACTTGAACCGATGCCCTTGTGTGCAAGGTTCTAGTTGAATTTGTCTGTCTTTGTATCAGTCGAGGATCAAAATGGTACTACTCTGCAGAAAATGGTATGCATAAGTTTACGTTATGCGATAAAAATTTTTCTGATAATATATATGTACTGACTATGATAATTTGGTTGGTTTTGGCTAGCAGAGGAATCCAGAATGCGCGTTTCGTCCTACCTGGGACTCCTCAGCCGGATGTACCTATTACCCAGTTAGTGCTGTTGTTGCCACTGGGACCCGAACCTCGTACCCATCATTTCAAACGTCAAGGCGTTATCCACTATGCTACGGAGGAACGATAGCCACTTCTTGTACAACGGGTAGTAGTTATTACTATATACTTACTGATATACTTGTAATTCTTCCATGATTTATTGAATCGGATTGTCCAGCCTCTATTGGCATATGGGCTCTTGTGCGGATGCCTCGATATTTCTTGAATGTCAATTATGGTAGTTCGGAGAATTACAAGTATGTCAATAAACAGTAATATGTACTAACTGACTAAAACGGTTGTGAAATAAAACATATATTGTATCAGTACAGATGATAAAATTTATGGTGTATGACTATCATTAGAGGTATTGAAATTGAGTTCCTATGTTAAATCATCTCTCACCTAAATACTTAAGTGGAATGATCGAGTAAGATGGTTGTTTAGCTACCGAATTCAATCGTTTCCAAACCAGTGATTACTTTTATCCCTAAAGACAGTTGTAAAATGAGCACATTTTCCAGCTCAAGGAGTGTCAATAGGAAAGGGAACTGAAGCTAAGAACACTTGGGTCTTCCCAAAGTTCTCATAAAACTATGATAGTATTGGATAATAATTATTTTTGACAGTAACCAGAGAGCAGTGGTTACAGTTGGTAAGCATGTATTTCTTTATATGAACCCAAAACTTCAGATACACTCATGAATTGTGCTCACTTTTACCGAGATTTTATCCTGAATGATATTACAAGCTTGACAACAATCAAAAAAGGGCTTATCAGATTTCCACTAAAGATAAGTATAAGTATATTTATCACATGTTTCTACTGGAAACAGAAATAATATAACAACTTGTTAGACCTCGGAAACCAATACACAACCAACATACTAAGTAGGAACACATCAAGATAAGGTTTAATCAACAGCAAACTCTTACTTCAGATTCGTTGATAAGACCCAGTTAAACCAATGGATAGTTAATATCACAGAATATATGTCATGATTGCCTTTTTTCAAAATAAAATACAATCCAACTCAGCAAACACGTGCACTTACAGTCGATAGTTAGCTGAAGCTATAAAATGAGGAATAACGATACTACTTGACTGTTCAATTTCAAATAGAAGGAATGGATTTCGAACCCATGACTCGTTGACTGGAAGTCAAACGTTCAGACCAATGAGTTATAGTTCCACTTTTAACTATTTACTCCACTGTAAATCAAATAATTTCTCTAACAGGAAATCCATTATATATGAATGAACATGGTGCATCTAAATTGTCTATTTATTTTGTTTTAAGAACATCTATCTTATCTGATGCTAATCAGTTAAAATACTTCGGTTTTATATGAAGTTAAAATGCACTTTTGGCTGCATGAAAATATCAACATTTACAAACTAAGTTTGGACAGTATAGTAATTTCAAGTTTTTGAATGAAATAAATCCAAGTGTAAAAACGATACATCAAGTAATAAATAAATGTAAAGTTATTCCATGCTAAAATCATTTTTATTTGGAATATGCTATAGTAAGATATACTTTATATCTGAATTGTAATTTAACGGCATATTTTTATCAGTGTAATAACAGAAGACTGAAAAGTCCTCAATAAAATCTATTTACTGAGAAGGTTGTACTGTCTGATAGCTTTGGTCATATAAAATAACGTAGAGTCTGGAATCTTTATGTAAACAGGAATCTACTATATGACAGCTAACATTTCAAATCGATGAGGTGATCGTCATTTCTTCTTTTCTCATCTAATCTTGATGTAATTATCAAATATTTCTAAATATTTCTTCCCACGTTGCTTCAGTTACTATCTGGTAAGCATTTAACTCCCTTATTCATGATGGTGAATCTACTAGGCTCTGTTTTACATACTCAGATTATCTTACAGTTAATATGAAATGAAATGTTTGAATTGTAATAAATTATGATATAACTAACTACATGGAACAAATGACACCTTTTAAAGTATTGTCACTCATTCTATTGATCCGAACAACTGTTTTTCAGCTGAAAGAGGGAACTTTTAGGCTCTATCTGTCATGTTTTGAGCAAAATTCGTGATAGTGTCACACCTATTTACGTAGAATACGTGGGCAAAAGATGAGAGGTTTAATCATCCATTACTATATCGCGTATAATGTTTTACTCCTTAACACAAAGTTTCATTACTGAAGAGACGTTGTAAGAACTTTTGACATAACTTTATTTAGTTATTCAGTCACTGAGTGGCAAAAATCACGTTTGGACATTCAAGTTGCTATACACAAGGTTAGGATAAGTCATTAAAGAGTATAGCTGATGTTGAACGGATGTTTAAAGCATACTGCAAACATTTAGAGGAATGGCATAATACTTGCATTACTTGAATTTTAATAATTAAGTGGTAAAAGCTTTGTATAGTGAGATAGTCTACTTGAAATATAAAGACACATTTTCCTGTTCAGCTTTCATAAACTCACTATAACACTAGAAAGAGTTTTTTTCACCAATATCTAAATATAACAGTATGCTCTGTGAATGGTAGATATCAACTTCATAAACTGGTAAGTATTTTTTTCGAATTCTAACTAAGCTCAACTGTGAAATATGAATTTCCTTGTATAATAAAGCATACATATGGAATACTGAAAGGCTAATCAACAACTGGTGTACAAACAAAAACTGAGGTATGGGTCCATTTTATAAAATAGCGTATTTACAGGTGATTAAAAGTAAAGTCAAGATTGATGAAGAACGTAAGTAGTTAGACAAAAGATGTGAAGTCAGAATGAAATTAAGAGGAAGTAACTACCTAAAGATTAGTATGTTATACAAGTAAAATGTAGTTCTACTTAGATATATGAATAAATTTATATCACAGAAGTCTATTGTTAACAAATGATAACTTGAAGTCAGACAAAATTTACATAATCATCTAACTTCTTGGACTAGATTTCTAAAGCAACAAACATTCCACAAAAATCAAAGTATTCTAGTTAAACAGAATTCACTATATCCCAGTTTATGAGTTCAACGACTTGAAGATGGTCAAAATTTCCTTGCTGTTACACCGGTTAAATAAAGGAAAACGTGAATCTCAGATAAACGTGACTAGTCTTATTACTTTATTTAGTTAAACAAATATTTTACTGAAGAACTATTTGATATCATTGTAGCATAGGTCGGCTAAATAGCTTTTCATTGATTCTTCACTCATTCCTATAAGGTTTATAGTTCCCAAATAACTGCATGTTGAGTAAAATCAACTATTGTGTACAGCCTATTTTCATGAATTATAGTACGTTGTAAAGAGTTAATTCAAAACTGACTCTGAAGGCTATCCTACCGATTATTGAAATAGCCAATCAGACTCTGACATGTCTTATGGGATGATAGTTTCCTATAAAATAAAGAGACCTAAGTGGCTATTTCAACCACAGCTATGGTAGTCTTTAGAGTCACTCTCAACCTGACAGACAATAAACAGTTGTTTTTACCTGTTTACTTAAGATAATTTGCATGGGATAAACTGACAGAAAGATAATATGATGTAAGAGATACGCATGCTTCATTGAAGCACACTTTTAATTCCACTAAAATAGTCAGATTATCCAACACGAGATAATGCGCAGGTACTCAGTAGTATTGGTACTTAGTTTGCAACCGTTAGATCGTTATTTCAAATCCCTTTATCGACCTTTACAATAGTAGCAAAATTGAAATGAGATAAAAAGAAAGAAATAATGCAGATGTCTGACAACTTGTAGTATAACTTGATAAAGCAACAAGGATTATTCATTGCTGAAGAAAAACGAATAAGACATTCGCAACAAATAAACTATGATGACATATACAACAAAAATAAACTGAACAATAGCTTCACACGGAATGAAGTCAAGACTAAATCCTACGACAGTCTTTTTTTAGATGCTTCTTTTCTTACCGCGTTGGTTACAACAAGCGTTAAACCCAAAAAATTGATTGCCTGTTGAAACACGACAACACTGAAAGAAATAAACTAATTTAATTTTTCTTAAAACTTACTTCATATAACATCTGCAGGAATTCTTTAAGAGCTGCTAATGATGATCCTTCGATTGCATCACGTGCACCAACATCTAACTGTAACAGCATGCTCAGTGATCGGTAGATATCAACTCCATAAACTGGTAGATATTTTCCAGGAACTGGTGTGGATTTACTGCTGTTGAATGAAGATGAATACAAATATGATAATATTGCATAGATAAATAGAAAAATATGCAGGTAGTTGTCTGATACTTATAATCCCCTGGTACTATACTTGGTTGGATTGCTCGACCTCCGTTGGAGATGCGTTCCCATGCGGATGCCTCGGTATTGTTCGATTACTCTTTATGTTATTTTCCGCAGTATCAAGGCGCCCGTGAGGTAGCCAGTCCGCCAAAAGAGGTCAAACAATTCAACTCAGCATAGCAACAATAGACTACAAGTATCAAACAACAACTGATACTCGTCGCACAAGAAGTGGTTCTCCTTCAGCAGTTGCTTAGTAGATAACGCCTTATTATCTGAAGTGATGGTCACTGGGTTCGAATCTAAATGGGAAGAACATCACCGGCGGGAGTGACGAGTCCCAAATGGGATGAAACGCGCGTTCTGGATTCCACTGCAAGATGAGAAACGGACAGCTGTTTCATAAGTAATTTACCTTGTAAATCCTTCAATAGGCAAGACAAATTAGTTTCGTTTCCATCAAAGTTGTCAAAGAGTACCAACTTCTTGCAACAGTTGTCAAATATTCTCCAGTTTTTATCAGTCTATGAACACATATACTTTCAAAAATTAAGACGAGTCGAACAAAGTCAAATACGAAACGTAACGCTTAGAAATTCTGTTCAACTAGAATTACAACATTCACGAAAGGTTATTAAAAGTAGAATTTACACAAGGATATATATTCAATATGATACTTTTAAAACAGTTTGCTGATAACAGTTTTGGATACAAGTGAAAACAAATTAATTATTTGAGAAACACTACAATATTGATTACAGAGATGACGTAAGCGCAGTCAGTTAACGAATTTCAAGAAAGATGAAGTGTTATTCTAATTATCCACCTCTAGAAGCTACTTATAGATAACACTGAAATAAACTTTTATATTCCTTGATCATCTTATCAGTTTCGAAATAAATAAATTTAGCACAGATTAGTCAGTGATGAAAGCTTCTTTGCATGCTAGACAATTAGCTACAAAGATATCGAAACCTATGCACATGATACAGAAGCTTTTGTACATTGCTTCTATCAGCTAACAAAATACTAATTAAACCTCATTATTTTTTCGTTGGCATATACACTGTATAAGAAAATTTTGCTGAAATAGTGATTATATTAAAAGCAGCTTCAATATTTTTTTTATTAAGAAATCTGAGATAAAGATACCGAAACAGTGCACTGCTGTTTAGTAGAAATGATAATACTAATGGCAGTTATTGATTACCACATTATCCTGTTACACGTCAATTTATATAAATAGTACCTATCAATATTCTTGCTTATTTTATAAATTCTATTCCGTAAAAGAATAAAACAAGAGTAACATAGTGTGATGTATCGTACAAATTAGTGATTTCACGTGTATCCAGCTAATCTATGGAAAAGAAATGTAGATATACTAGTTAGTTGAAGGTAGCCGGCAAGAAGCCTTGGACAAAGGTTTCGTGTCTGTTGGCACTCGTCAGCAAAGCGTATCTGCAACCTCTTTAGAACTGATGTCCCGCCTGAGATACGAATCTCCGTTACCCAGTGTTTCAGTCAGTAGGGCTACCACTAAGCTATTCGGCGAGAGATTGATACCCCGTAGGACTGTGTTACATTCACTAATTGTTCATGAGAGAGCAACCAGCTTCAAGATATCTAGTCCTGGCCACCAAGGTAGGAGGCTCAGCACCAACATGATATATATGTGTATATAAGTGATGTGATTAAGCATAGACTTTCAGAGTTGGCAAATATTTCAGTAGTTGGTCATACGTAAGCTGCAATAAACAAGTTGATGAAAAGTAGAGAAAGCGATACCTGAAATTCATTTACTCTACAAAATAACGAAAATCTTAACTGAGGTTTGTTGGTATCTATTTATCTCAAGGATGTTTCCACCACAGACAGATATCAGTTGACGAACTTCTGAAAACCTGGAAACAGTGGACAGCTGTGTTATCCAAGTTTCAAGCTCCCCAAAACTCAATGATGGTTAAAGGTAAAGGTGATAATGTCTCCATTCAGCTCCTGGATCGAAATCTACTGATCTACTTTGCCTACTTCTCCAAGTTCTAGATATAGGGTTTCCATCATACAATGGTATAACTGGTTGACCTAACAGTCAAACCTCATTAGAACTTCTGTAAATCCATCTCTAAGCAAGGTATTGATGGAGGTTATGGTGTTATTCAAATGAAGCTTTTAGGATTTTACTGACTTCAGATCAGTTTTACCCATGGACTGACTACAGTTGAAGACATGACGATCCTAAGTACAATCCCACATGGCGTTGGGGATGCACACCCCTAGGCAGTTGCAATTTAGGATAAAAAGCTGTCCAGTGCTCCCTGATTTTCAACAGTTCACCAATTAGTGTCAATCTATGATAAATAAAGTAAAACACTACTTTAAGATTAATATTTCCGTTGAAAGAAAAATAATGATAAAGTCCTAAACCAAGTGACTAGGACACGGTAGAAAGCAACGATAAAACATAAAGTTCAAATGCATAACAGTACGAAAGTGCATCACCTTTTGAAGTGTTGCCAATAATTGCGGCTTTTAGATGGTTACCCTTTTAGCTATTTACCATTTCTTTCCATATTTTATGGAACACTACCTGATAACTTTCATTAGATTGTGTTACAAAAATTAAAACTCAAGATACTGATTATTTGGGAAATTAAAAAACATGTTATACAAAAGACTTTGAATAAGGTGCATCAAAAAGTCTTCAATAGCATGACACCAAAAGTATGAGCCAAAGGCATTATGGATTCAAAGCATGAGCGATAAACAATTCCTATGGAACCTAAGTCTTAAGGTTGTCAAAATTGTGGTATAAACTATGTCAACCTATGAACAATTAATTAGCTTTCCCGAGGTCCTGTCATGTATATATATTGATTATTTGTATAAAATATCTCCAAGAGACTCATCACTTAAGCAATGGAGTTACTAGAAAGATTTTCCTAGGTCAATAACTGCTATTCACAGACCCTTAGGCATGTTCCTGAACTTCCTTTGATTTATTTATAGGGGAATCGACTAAATTAAACACTTCATTATTCTATATAGGGTAGAACAGGCTGAACTTCAAAATATATACGATGTATGGTAACAATATTAATCAGTAACTTAGTGAGTCTGATTCTAATAGGATACATGATAAATCTTTTATATGATACAAATAGATGGGATTAAAACTAATTCTGCTTGACGATTAGTGTAACATAGACTGCTTATGATCTGGACATACTTTTTATCATAAACCAAGCATATGATCAAAACAAAAGAAGTAAACATAGTCAATATCAGCAGTAAGAAGTTACACACACTAAGATATCACCAGTGATTACTGTTGCCTAAATGCCAATTTGCAGAAATTTCACTTGATTTCAACTTACATCTAAATATTTCAATGAACTAAGTTCAAATTTTATTTTATCTTATTCCTATCATTACTCTAGTTTCCAATAGCTGAATTTACCTGATTTGTACACATTTTAACACATTACATATCATTAATTCACTTTATTGAATTAAACGTAGAAAAGTGATTTTTAAAAAAAGTGGTTTTTCAGTGTACTTCTGATGACAGACTGTTAATAACAAAGTCTCTCTGAAAGAAATCTAAGGGTTATAACCTTGGATTTCCAATAATAAATAAATGCATAGTTTACATGTGTTTTTCACTTACACTAAAATCTTAAACTCGACAATAACACATTAAATTTGGATGAACAAGCATATGAAAGTTTACAGTAATAATGAGAAGCATGCTGTTTGGATTTTCTTTTAATTGGTACCATTATATAGTTATGAACTTACAGTTCTGATTCCGCATTTTCCTGCAAACCTGGCAAGGTATTTGACATTTTGTCAAGAACTTTTCTAACTTCTTCTTCCGTACCTCTAACGAAAAGAAACAGAAGACAACAATATAAGAAATGATATTTTAATGTTGAAAACAGTGAACAGTTTATGACATTCACTTGGAGTGCAGTCACGTACATTTATGTTCACTGAGTTCACTAATTAACTACTTTTCCAGTTTTCTGGTTTACGTTAATTTTGAAGTTTGTCACTGAAGTGAAATGATTAAAAAGTAGTTTCTATATGGAATACCTATCGGCTTCACCATACTTTAGGGTAGACAAATTGATGAGAGTTCCTAGTAGTCATGTATCACCTTTTTTCTTCCCAATAATAAATGCATTTAAATGAGATAATAAACTGAATACTGATAACATGTAAAATAGTTCACCTTGAGACATCATGATTTACCTTCATAGTACCGTTTCCAAGCAATGTGACGTTAATAAACAAATGTATTTTAGCTGCTAAATTTTATCCCCATCATTCAAAAATAACAGAAGTGAATAGTGTTCACAACAAAATAAGGCCTAATTTTTAGTCGGTGAAAATGTTTACAACTCAGCAAAGATGTCTGACTAAACAGGAACATCTCTACATAAAGAAAAGCAAAGGTTAATAAGGAAATAAAAATTCTTGTCAACACCACTTTCAAAAGACATACATTTTTTTTATGGTAGCATTTATTACAAATATACAACGAAATGTTACTGAATAATAAACTAGTGTTTAGTTTGTCTTCTAGAGATGGAAAGCGATTATATGATAATACTTAGTTTGGGAATTAATAAGTATGGAGTTTGACAAAGTTTCTAGATTTGAAGTGATACAATTTAGAGTTTCATAATATGTGTAAAAAAGGTAAGAAAAGAAAGAAGTGTCATTACGGTAATTGTTATGATGAAACTTGGAGGAAAAAGCGAAGTTAAGACCATGGCATAATAAAAGAGTGAATGGGCTTTTTCTGCATACAAGTATCACACCTAAATCCATGAATTCCACTTGCCATCTTCGTGCACAAGTTGTGGAGTCGCACTCTTTTCAAAGTGTTTACATTGACTTTGCAGATAATTTGCACTGAAGACTGGAGGGGTTGTATAATCAAAACTGGGTAAATGTTCAAGAATCAGATCGGTTATGAACTTTTATTCTTGACAACTGTTGACAGCTGTGCAGGATCACACTGAAATAAGCGTTTAGGAAGTGAGCGCCTCATACAACCTACATCATCAGCTTGATATTTACACCAACTGATTTATGATTAGATAGTTATCGGCCAACTGTGTGCTGCCATTTTTGATCTGTCCTTAATCCTCTTATTCAACACTGTCAATAAAGAATTTTCTCATTATCGGCTTTTCTCATGTAATCTGTTTATCTAACTAAGTCAATTCATGATTTAATAATAACATCGAATTAGAGGGCACCTATCTGTAGCATGATTTCTATACACACAAGACCCAATATGCAAAGATTATTACTCAAATATACGTTAAAAGGTACACATTTCACTTATTACTCTGGCAAAACTTTGTAACTGGACTCCCAAGTAACAGATATTGTTTAAAATTAAAGTCAAAATAATGGAGATCCTTTCCTAGTAGTAAACCAAAAACTATTTTATAGACTTCAGAAAATCAAAACAAATTGTTATCCATTCATTCTCACACTCCTAACCAAAGTAGAGGAATGAATAAGAGGATTTTTAAGCGAAAAAAGTATACTTAAAAGCATGCTAGATAACCGAATATGATTAAAAACTAGTGACCTAGACTAAAGTCAGTTCACGATATTGCAGACGTGCATTTTATATCACGTAATACCTTCTTTCATTTACAGTTATGTGAAATAGAATCTGTAACAGAGAAAATATACGTCTACCAAGTTTACTGTACACTAAAACTAAAGGAATGATTCATTTCAAAGCAAGCTTACTCAATCAACTTAAATTATTCGCATAGTTGCAATTCATATTTATTCAACTGCAAACAAAATGGTCTTAAAGCTGATCAATATGCAGCCCGCTTCTGATTGCACATTAAAATGCCTGTCAACTGTGATAATCAAAACCATAAAATGAAAAAATAAGCGTTTTTTCATAGATGAATCGGGAAAGTGGTGGCATTATTATTATTTAAACGCCTGAAATTTGTCATAAATAGTTTCTTTTTGGACGAACTTGCATATACACTATGAAAGCACTTCCTCACCAGATATTCAACTCTTGTCTCTTTGAAATAAGTCAAAACCCCAATTATCTGTGCTGGGTCTGATTGATAAGAAACCACACGCCAACATAAATAAAGCTGGAATTCCCTTGCAATAAAATATTCATGGTTTAACTTTTCTGTTTACTCCAAGAAACTAAATGAACTTTTCATTTGCCTCATCGAACGTTTTACCCAATGTTATGATTATCATTAGTTTAATCAGAACATGAATGTAATAACTGTGGTGTTTTCCATTATTTTATTTCAGAAACAACAAACACTACTTAGAACCAGAGTCGAAATTTCCTGTAGTACTTAAAATATCTTTATACATCCTGTCTTTCCCTGATACACATAGGGGAGAAGGATCAAAAATCGTTTTTCAATAAATAATTTTATTGCTCAGTAAAACTCGATATACCTACCTAGCAATTATGAGGTTGGAAAGAGAACTTGTGACCACAATATCCGTTGCCTCATTTTTAATAGCACCGGTAATTTGTCTTCTTAGAGGAAGACTATAATCCAGAATTATCTGAAAAAGGTGAAAAAGGATCTGATGACATACATAACAATGAAAAAATTCATGTTAGATTGTTATAAGTGCAATACATAACTGCTACATAAAAGTGCTGCGACATCTATCTCTGAATATTGTAATTCTAGGATGAAACAAATGTAGGAATCCCAATCGCTTGATTAGCTACGGCTGACGGTCGCCGCTGATCAAACACAAAAATTCTTAGTATGTTACAGCCTTGCACATTCAACCAGGCAGTACCAATAACAACACTTGACATTAATATGAACATAATTTATGTCCGAAATGTTTTCCAGTAAATGATACTGTTTCACTGTGACACTTCTAACAAACAAACTAAAATGGAATTAAAATCTACAGCAGTGTCCAAGTTTCACTCCTATAATAACTAACAACAGTAATACTAATTTTAGTTGACTCATTTTGTTGCCTTTCTGTAGCACTCACAGACAAAGGGTTCTTTGATGGACGAGGTGGATTTCAGTTAACAGAAAACAAAAAGCTTTTTATCTATTTCATGACCAAAGGAATGCGAAATTACTTATGTTATTATGATTGTCTTGAAACACTGCATTAGGATTCTGTAGTTACTGACTGCTTGCACATCCTATACAGTTCATTTACACCAGTAGTCAGACTCAGTAGAGATACTATGCCTCCTTCTGATTACCATGAAAGATCTATTGATTTATCACTACTGAAACGTTTATCTTAGGCAAGGTTAAGAGGTAACTTCATGAAAGTTAAGGATGACTAACCATTCCATGCAGGTGAAATGTTGCTGCAACCAATAAGCTTGCTTCCAAGATGGTAAGGACAGAATAAACAGATCTATTACATTGCACCGCTGTTCTCCTTTGTTAACGGAAAGCTATGTAATACTCAGTATAATGCTGACCAATAGTATATGTATATATGTGAGAAATTATTTAAACAATTATAAAAAAAATACAACTCAATGGGGAACAATTCAAGAAAATTCCGCCAGTTTTGTTGTCAACGAAGCGTCGGACCGTATCGTCGGTCTCTACAATTAGGCTCTATGTAGCCATCTAGCGAGGTCAACAGCTAAAACTGTTTAAACTTCTCTAACGATTTTTATGTTTGTGAGCTACAGTACGTTCAGAAGTAGTGATTTCCAAATGTCTTTCTGTCGATTTTTACATGCGGGCATCATAAAAATACTCCTTTCCAAAGCATTTGTGAGACCAGTTAGCCAACCTGGTTGGATAAACGGCTGCAATCCATTAAAACGAATCGGTTTGTAAGCAGGCAGATAGGGTCTAAGATTTTGTTGGGACTCCTCCCCCTGAGTAATGACCTACAATAACCTAGAAGTTATAGTTAGTCATGAGTTGAAAATCAAAATACACTGTTACAACTCGGGGTTTTAGGATACTTTGGGCACTAAGCAAAAATTTAACTAGGACAGCTGCGATTTGTTAACTATCTTATATCGGTCCTTATTCAAATCGAAACTAAAAGACCGTCCACATGTGATAAATTCTTCTCTAAGAAGTGAATATACCTTTCTGTGAATAGCTCAGAGGACGGCTGCCCGTACGTTTCCCATGATAAGCAGCCTGACCTAAAAAAGATGGTCTTAGGAACAAAACATCTTTTTATTACATCCAGGACAAAAATGAGACTTGGATATACTACAAAGAGTTTCAAAAAAAACAATCTGGACGTGAGCTTTTCTTTCCTTTCCCGCCAGTTATGAACACCTCACAGGACAAACCAAGAGATTATGTTTTAAAAAATTACGAGTAGAATTTCAATACAGTACTGAATCCTGCGTGAAATAACCAACTCTTGGAGCTAACTCAAAGAAATGTTGTCTGCATCATTAACTGACTCAGACAAGAAAGGACTAGACAAGCATTTAAATCGACTGGAAAGAGGTTAACATAGAGTCATGAGTTTAATTCGCAAACTAAAAATCTAAGTCCGAACTCAGGTAAATCTAGAGGCAAATTTACAGTTGTCACAAGAAAATAAAAAGTTTGCATAGAATTAAATGAGGATTAGTCAAGTCTCACAGATGTGAAATACTCACCGAGAAGAAAAGCAGTACACTAACGCAAATAGATGACGAACAATTGATTTAGAATACCGCATAATACAACTTTGCTAATTTAGAGCTACAGTCACAAGCATGAAGTGCTTAATAAAAATCTCAATGAGTTTTTTGTATGAAAGCAATGATAAACTAACCGTTTTGTCACTTACTTACTTACCAATGTATTTATGTCAGAATTATTACTCGTAACAGTTAGTGGTTCGTTAACTGACTCTTCCCTATATGAAATGAAGCTTAACATGTTTAACATACCTTGGAAGACGCAGTGAAGAAACATTTAGCAACTTAGAAGCTACATTCAGTCGTAGTAAGGATGCATTCTTGTTTGCACTAACTTCTTCCCATGACTGCTTGCCATCTGTTGTAAACAGAAACTACCAAATTATTTTTAACATTCCTACCACAAGAGATGGTACTGAATCGATTCCAAAGCGAATACAAAGTGCTGTATTCTGCTCATCTTCGCAATCAACAGACCCAAGATGAAGTGCCCATTTCCAATCTACACAAAATAATTTATGTGGTTATCAACACTATCTGTATATTTACTCCTAGCGGACACAGAAAACTCCAGGAATACTTTTGAATAATTTATACAATGTCCACATGATTTACGGTAAAATATGACAAGCCAATCTCCTTCTGACGTTTTCCCATCAAATACTTCCGGAGAGAGGACATCAACACCTTTCATTTCACTATAAAGTGTGCAGCTTGTAGTTCGGCATAATATGTATAAAGCAAAAATCGTGAACAGCATTTCGGATACCAAAATCCAAGTATAGTGTGCTATCTATTGACAGAAACACATCCTAGTTTCAAATTAGGCCACATTGTTTTTAGGTAGAACAGATGTTTCAATGAATCCAATATACAATATCGTCTCACTAAGTAGTGAGAACCGAATGATTTCTTCTTGCTCCCTCCTGCGTCTTGTAGAATGGTTTAAAGTTTTCGGTGTATTTCTAGGTAGTAGGTCTACCCACCCCATTGCTGTAGCTCTGGTTAGCCTGGAAAGCTATGTGTGTTGATTGCAGAAATCGTCTGATCTGTCCAAGGACTGGAGGCTCAAGTGGGTTTCTTCAAGAACCGTGCCAGCAGAGAGTTATTCCAACTGAATTTCAAAGGAAGATATGAAAAAAGGGAGAGAAAGTGCGGGAAAAACCGGTGGAGAAAGGTAAAGGGAAGGGGAAAGAAAAATAGATTGATTTTGAAGAAATATGAACAATGAGGAGGATCTTTCAAAAAATAACATTGGTTCTGGGAGTAAGAGAGAAGAGAGAGTAAGCGCAACACTGTAGGATGGTCTATGGGAATAGAAACTAGTTTCGTTACTAGGATTTTGATAACTGGCGGTAAGACGCCTAACTGGGAAGTACAAGGATGAGTTCAGTTCTCGATGATATTGGCAGCATTGAAGAGTGGGTACACAGTTGAACGTGCTGCACTATGGTGGATTAGCTCATAACGCTGACCCAGTCCGTATTGCAGCCAGGTGAGCGCCGACCATGCGTCGCTGTGTAGCTATCTAACTTCTTGGAGCTGTCGATCGACAGAACCATGGAAATCCGAGCAGGTAATACGTTTCTGCTATTTGATGGGCGGTTCTCCCTGGGTTACCACGAGTGCTGACACAGCAGTTGTTCGGTACAGTTCTACTGCTCGGATGACTTGGATTACTCGGTATTTCGTCAGCTGTTACCAGGTCTCCACTTGGCCCACGGTAGCTAAGGAAGCAAAGCCGTATGTATTTCAGCCTTCTCTCATGCGGTTTATGACACTTCCTTAAATCACCCTTTGTTGATCATCCCTGAAGTTTCTGTAGGAGGTTCGAATCACCCTTCAGATATCGTGGTACGGTGTCATTGCGTGTCCAAGGACGGGGTCAAATACAGGTCTTGTACTGCTTCGGGGAAAGCCCCGAATTGAAGGCAGCTGGTTGTCTGCACGTAAAATGCTATGCTGCGTGGGCTCTGGAGGCATCTCCTATACAATTGTAGCAGGTGTCTAACCTGTCATTCACTATTAGTCCTAGGTCCTTTCCCGCGCTGATGTGAGGGGCTTGTGTACCACAGGATTTGATGAAACGTTTCTGCATATGCGTAAGGCCGGTGGAAAATATCTGAGTCCGGCGAGGTTGCATATTTTCCGAGGGAGAGGAAAAAACGGTTAAGATCATCGTAGGTGTGAGAATCACAAACAGTGATACTAGTATTCTTATGGTGAATGAAGAGGTCAGATGCCTAAAGGGGAGTCATAAGACTGGGTTGGGTTAGTGACATTGGTGGCAAAGGAGGACAGTCGATATGGAGATCACTGAGCTGGGTTGGCAAGGACCCAGGTGATTGTCTTGGTCCAGCTCACATACTAGATGAGTAAGTGCAAGCCCTGCTTAGCTTCCCGGACTTTTTCAGAACTGTTGACAGACAAAGCGGCTACCAGAATCCATCATCCATCATTTTGTCAGGATGTGACCAAAAGTTATCCCCTAGCTTGTTATGGGTCGTCACGCTTAACAACAGAAATTCATGTTTTCCTTTTTCTAAGGGCATATTTTACTTTGTTCTACAATTTTTGAAACCCCCGATCGGGCGACCGCTTATTTTATGGTTTGCTTATGTTCAAAGAATTGACTGTACTTGCTATCTTTGATGAAGAAGAGGTGGGCTTATTTATTGTGGCCTAAAATTATTGCAAATAAAAATTCCGATTGCGGTTTGTACTAAAAATCACGTCTTAACTGGCAGTGAATCAAGTCGTGGGGAGTCTAAGGGCTGGGGATATATTCTTTCATGCAGCTGTCGTGTGTTTATCTATGATTCAGTGCTCTACCTTTAAGCATGGTGGTTAACGCAAAACGGGTACAAAGTGTTTCAAAGGGTTTTTACTGAGGAATTACAACGAGGCGTGAAATCCTATGTGGGGCAAATTATAGCAGCCTTATGGACTGTTGAAGACTGCAAGAGAAATGTAGGTGACTTTGAAGCTTACTAATTTTCACCCTCCTTAAGACTTAAGTATGGGCTTATATTTAACGACATGTGGTTGCTTGATTTACTTAAAGTTAGACAAATTTCACTGCAGATTAACGCTAGGTGAAATATCAGGAGATGGCTAAATTTAATGGACCTTTGCGTTGGGAAGTCTTTTCACCGGAAAATTATACAGAAGCTGTATATTCTATTCATGCAAGATGAATGTGTGTACATGCATGATACGTCGTTTTGTGATAAAATATTGTGGCAGCCGAAAGATCTCAATAGCTTATTACCATTCAAGCGACTGGAAATAAGGCATCTTCCACTTTTGGTTGGAGTAATTCGATAGCTAGCCAACGTTGACATAAATTCCTGCCCACTCAGGTCCTCATAAGTGGCTGCAAATGAACATCATAGTATGTCTGTTTGGGGTCCCTGACGTTTACCTGAATAAATAGCAAACTGCCATGAGCAGAATGCATGCAGGGTTTTGGAATCACTAATTTTGCTTAGCTTAGGTAGACAAGTTTGTCAGTATGAAGTCCCCAAAGGTTACGCTCAATTATTGACCGACGCTGACCGATTATCTTGGTGTAGAATCTCTCATAGATGCTTCGGCTCATGTTATTAAACTTCACAGAAGTACTCAAAGAGCAGGTGGAAAGGGAAGAGGCGATGTAAAAAAAGTTAGTGGTGGGACAGAACAAACAATGTGAATACATAAGTCAGTGCGAACACTCAAGCGTTAGATGTCAGGGCGTGAATATGTCTGTGCCATTGTGAACGATTTTCAGCTATGTCAACAACAGCCCTCAACCGCTTATTCCTTTCGTCCCGGGGACCGCAACCAGACAGTCAGCGTCTCCGAATGTGGCTTAGACTAACAAAGGGAGACTTGATCGACTGGTAAGCGTTCTCTGTTTACTACCATAATCTGATGTATGCCACTGAATGGGCATCTCCCGCCACTTCAGACTGGTTGCTCCTGCGACAAACTAAGTGTTGTTCGTCACGAAGTCAACCCCAGCCCCCTGTCTCTCGGATAAAGAACATGATAATCAACCTTTTTAGTGCTGTGTGAGTCCAGTGAACATAACCTGTGCAATTAACAGCTGTAAATGAACTGGCCACTTGGTTTGATATTTTCTTCCACTAGTGCTGATTTCATCTTAATCGATAACATCAGTCCTGTTCAGTGAATCCTTCGTCATCTTCCAACATATAGCATATGGCGTGCACTGGAGTAGACATCCCCAAGAATAAGTGTCATCTACACGAACGTGTGTGTTGCAACGACTATGAGCAATTACTTATGCTGTGAAAACGCATGAGCAACATCATTCACAGTTTTCCACCCAGTATAGTGTCAGCGCGACTCTTCTACTATGCAGAATGAAATGAAAGTAAAATCAAAATATAACCAAAGGTATATTTCACTAGGAAACGTGAGAATATTTTTGGTGCAAACTTGTCTTTGTTTGGTCATGTTCTTAGTCGAAAGGACTCCGTTTATCGCAGTCGCCGAAGAAACGCGGGAGGGACCAGACCATAACCCACGTATTGTATAACTCTCGTAGACCTGTGTTATGCGACAATATTAGGAAGGCATATCATTTACTTCACATATCAAGGACTCCTTAGGATTTGTTCACCTCAATTGCAACGTCCGCCGCCAATTCATCTCCAAAGCTGTCTAGTGTGCGACAGCAATCTAAACTTATATCGCGCACTTCACAGTTGACCACAAAACTCAAATGGGCAATAGGTATAATCGTCCGTGAAATTAGGCTTCATTAAGCGTCGAAGAGGCATGAGTCTACATAGATTGCGACCAGTTTCGAATGTTCCACAAATGTATCGTGAAGACGACAGTAACACACTTTCTGCAACTCCTTATCCGCATCCTCAAATTTTCTTCATCTGAAGAACGACCCAGATAGCACCACTTCCCGGAACGTGGCAGCTAGTTCAAGTTAGGGTGCAGCTTTCTTAGAATCTTTGGCTATGCTACTTAAAAAAGCAAACTAGTCGGCAAATGACGACAGACAAATCCTGCAACAAGCATGACACAAGAAAATTATTACTTTACCGTGCATAGTCATATTATGCGACCCACTGTTGTTCAGTGAAACTTAGAAACCTACTGGTTTAGAATCACCATCACTTTTCTTAATGTGTAGTGATTAACACTTCTGAGACAAATGTCAATCTGCGCTTATCCATGCGCCTCTCAGCCCTGAGCTACTAGCTATCCTGACCATCTAAACGATGTTACAAGCAAGCGTGACCAAGACCTATTTGTAACTACCACTTAAACTTTAAGCAAGCATTCGATAGGGTGCGTCACAAACGCCTAGTCACTAGGTTGCAGTTATATGGTTTCCAAGAACCGTTACTGCCCCGGAAACACTTTTAGAGAGTAGCTTTCAAGTGGCTAAATTCAGTAGTTGCTGCTCCTCCTCTACACCTATACAAAGTAGTGTCATCCGGGGTAGTGTGCTAGGAACGTTACTTTTCCCAATCTATGTAATAAATAAATGGGTGAATATCTTATTCTCAAATTAAGAGTTTAACGTGAAAGAAGCCAGTTTACAGACATCATCAAATTGATAATGGTAAAGAAATCTCCAGTAGTTGAGCTGTCCTGAATGATACTGAAGGTATCGCATCAGGGTTTATCATAACATCAAAAGTGACTGCAGGTCACAAAAGGGGCAGAAACGTACCGCTTCACAGTACATACAGATCGTTTATGAGTTTCGGTGATCTCCACCCACCATTCTTTTTTCACAATAAAGTGATGCCAAAATCATACAATATTCGACGTTTGCGTTACGTGTGACCTAGATGGTTAAGC